GAGAGAGAGAGAGAGAGAGAGAGAGAGAGAGGGAAAAAGATCTGGTGCACTACGCTTCTCCACTATTTACAAACGTTTAAGGTCGTAAACCCATTCTATTGATCCACAGGGTATGAGTGGGTCCTCCCTCACGCGCTGGCTACTCTTACCTGGGAATTGTCTTTCTCACTTTACTGTTTATGAGACCGGCGACTGATGTGTAGGTGCTGTGTGTGCGAGCCAGCGTTGTTTCAATAAAAAAAAACGAGAAAAGGAGATGGAATAAGATGACCTGAGATAACTCGTGCGAGAAGAACAGACGCCACATTCGAGGATTAACTCTTACAAGTCGTAAACCTATTACTTGCTTTGTCGCAGTAAGTTATGTAACGACCCTCGTTAGGTTTTGGGCATATAGAGTTATTAATATAATCTTAAAGCTTGTTCATTTGTCTTGCATTTGACCTAAAAACAAACAAAACAAAAACAAGCCGTCTCTCTTGAATAGAAGTCGAGATATTTGCGATTAAAGGAGATGAGGGGTCCCTTGGTATGAGAGTTAAAATTAACGAGAAAATGACTGCCAAAGTTTGGTGACTTCCAAAGCTTGAGTGTCTTTGGAAACTGAAAATTACATTTTTCATGCCTTAAATGAACGTTTGCCGATAACATGCAAATATAAATGCGTTTTTAATAGGACATAAAAGATGTTGAGTCAGAAGAAAAAAAATGTCAATCGCCCAGAAAAATACCGATTTCTTTGATTTCATTGTTTTTACGAGCACCTGATTTCACCTCGCAGCCTCGTAATGTCAATGTTAACACTTTCAGTGTAAGAAAGATTGGTTTTCAAGGGTGTATTATTATACCTACCAAATCTTAAGAAAAGAATAAAGATCAGTTGCAGTACAGGCAGGTAGATATTTCCGATCAACGAAGCACACAAGCCAAAGCAAGAACGCAGCATCTATTCTGTAGACGTGCTGACGTCTGAGAGTTCCGTCTGCAAATGTGTAAACAAATCCTAAGATGCTCTTTTTTATCTCTTTGATGAATTCATTCATTTTTACAAAATTGATTTCTCTTACGGTGGGTCTATGTAAGTCAGTGTCTATGCATGCGTTTAAACTGCTATGCTCTTCGTTTGGTTTGTAAAATTAAAAGATATTATGATTTCGATTCCAAATTAAGGCAAGAAATTAAGAAATCACCCCCCCCCCCCAAAAGCGTGTCCTGACTGCAACATTTATCGTATTGTCGACATAAGTATCTCCGAAAGGAAATTTGCAAACTGTCTAATGTCTCTCAAATCTGTGTCCAGATTTGCAACCTGTAAGCCTAGAAAAGTGTCAAAAGAAATTGTGTGCCGTCTATTTCTTAGAGCCTTATATCTCACTTGTAAACTTCGAGGCAATCGAGGCAGGGGAAGACACATACCAGCTTACCCTGACAGCCTAAAAATATGTGTGACAGGGAAAGAGTTCAGGATAACTCAGCGTTTTTTGAGAGCATCTGAGTAAAGGAATGAAAGGAGAAACATAATCGCCGATGTCTGTCCCAGATCTGGCATTTGATGATGATGTCTTTCCGTTGATATTTTTTTAGCGTATCTCCGTGTTTCTGCTGGAGTGTAATGTCCAGCACTCTTGGCCTGAGAGGGTCGATGCATCCGGCCTCATGAGTGAAGAAACTGCTGGTGATGGGGTGTAGAACATGTAGAATCGAAGTGAATATATCGCACGTTAGCACTGTAATGAGGGTTTACTACGACAATATTTTTCTGGCTTTCAAAGAGAGATATTATATTATTTTCTTTCGTCCTGCAGTCCTGGCGAGAGAGGATCAATTGAGTGATCCGCTTTCCAATAACCTCACTCATTTTCCCTCTCTGTGTATTTAACATACAAATAAACGCACACACACACACACACACACACACACACACACACACACACACACACACGCACACACGCACACACACACA